ATGTTTGTGGCAGGGGATGCCTTGATGGTAAAGTTAGGTTTATAATATAAAAAAATGTTTTGAGACAAACACAAATTGAAACTAATTCATCTAATACCTTTAGGCATGGAGCAACGATAGGGTTTGGTCTCCACGACACCAAGTTCTAGTGAGTGGTGACACAGACAGATACTCTCTTGGAATGTTTTCATTCAACAATGGAACTCTTCAAGTACCAGAAGAGCTTATTGATCGTCAACATCCTCTCATGTATAAGCCATTCGATCATATTGGTCTACTTCGATTTTACCGTACTGACACAGGTTACAAATCAGAGTGTCCTATCAAAGCCTATTGCGGTATTTGAAACCGCTTCTATTATGTAAATGTAAAAGCTTCATACAAAGAAAAGTGCAATAATCTTACTCAAGAATCATATATACTTACATGGTAATTGGTAGATCACAAGAACATGATCCATCTCTTGGTTGGAATCAATACATCAACATTAGCACAAAATCTAGAAAAACATCATTCCTCATCACCGCGACTACCATTGACTCCTGAAACCATTTCTGATTCAGACATTACTCTCTCGTACTTAACAGAGCGAGAAGGGAGAATCCTAAACCGTCCAAAGGTTAAAGCTTGAGAAAGCTTGTCATAATCCCATCTCTGCTGAACAAACACGATGACTGCAAGTAGAATCGCGGTAAGGGGTATCGCGACATCCCCAAACCTGGAGAAGAAATCGAGATTCGGATTAACAAACTCGTGTTCTTCTCCAATGAAGTAAGGATCAGGAGCAGAGCCAACGATGTAGTCATAGACGTGAGGGAAAAGCCTCACTACCGTGATCCCCAAGTAATAAAGCTTCCTTAGTGGCTGCTGAGAATCGATCTGCCACATAATGTTAGCAATAACCTGAGGGAGCAAGAAGAAGTCTTGAACCAAACCAATATACTCCTCTGTTTCGGTCTGCCACCAGTTTGGACCGGCAGGTGTATAACTTCCAAAAGCTTCAGTAAATCTCTCTGTCCTTGCGGGATGTAGAAACAGAGCAAGAATGTATCCTAGTGCGTGTAAGATCAAGGAGATGAGAAGCACACGCCGATCACTTGGAACTTTATGCGGTTCTTGAGGTCTTCGAGTGAGCAATCTGACACGTGACTTCCACACTTTCTGACAAAGCCTTAGAGTTAGTAAGAAACAGAGCATCACGAGGAGCTTCACGGTGTAATCAATCACATTGAACCATTCACTTCTCCGTAGATCATACGCAGGTGTTTCATACGTCGTCGGTGAAGCTGCTTTTCTTTTAAAGAGAGCTTCTGCTCCGGTGATCAACGGCAAGCTATAACCAAGAGCTTGAACTCCAAGCATTACAAGCGAAACGAAAGGAAGTGGCTCCGTATTGCTACTGATGTAAAAAAGCTGGCTCGTGATGCAACCAATAGAGAAGGTAAGTGTGAGAACCCTGAGGATCCCTTCAACGCCTGCACGTGAAAGAATGTCTTCGCGCTGCCTTCTGTAAAAGATAGGAGTTGTTTTGAGCTTCACAGGCTCAAAATAGAGAGCATCATCGTCCGGTCTTCTGCTGGATATCGAAACCTTAGCCGTTGGATCAGCCAACCACCGTGACTTGATGGGCGGATAAGAAACCACCACGTCGACCAAACAATCTAGCCCGGCTTCAAGATCACCACTCTCTGACAAGACTTTCCACGAGGCCCTCACGTCTCTGCATCCAACAAGATACATCTTCCCAACATGCTCATCGTAAAGACCTTCCAAGTAAATCACAGAGAAGTTACCAAAAGCTTCCCCTGTAAGTGAGATCTGAGCTGACACATTCAGAAGAAGCTGTTTCTCAGTGTACTGATCTTTAGTGCGGTAAGGAGCTGTTACATTCTGTTCTGCAATGGAACCATTCGAAGAACGCCAGAAAAGACCGAACAAAGGACCAAGGGAGAGAACATCCATGCCGAAATTAGTCCCCGAGGCACGTTTGTCGGTGAAAGCAGGGGTGTGGAAAGTTAGATCCTCAGCTAGAAGAGAGAGGCTCGAAAGATAATCCTCTGAATCTTCCAACTTCGGAAAATGCATCACCGACTTCTTGATTATGGTTGTGAAAGAGAACGCCTCGTTCCTCTCAAGGATCACACCAGCTTCAACCAGCTTGGAGTAACTATAAAACGGGTGAGAAGCCGAAGACTGGAAGTAGTTCTGCATGTCCATAGGCTCCACGAGCTTCTCAAACGACAAAGGGGAGAAAGAAGGAGCCAAGCTCTTCTCCGTGTTCAAGCACGAGATGGTACCAACGAGTATGCTTCTCTGCCGTATCGAAAACGTCGTCGGGATATACAAACACACACGAGCGTTGCAGCCATCGGCTTGGCCTCCTCTGCATCCAACCATACATAACTGCCCGCTCGACGGTTTCCAGACCCCTTCCGCTGTAACCGTCATGTTGTCTAGCCCCGACCTCAGCCCCGAGATGTAAAGATTCTCATTCGGGTGAACCGCACGGAAAACCGCAGAGACTTTCGTGACAGCGTCGGTTTCAGACCGAGCCGCGGTTTCTTGGCAGTGTATGTTCTGCATATAGAGCTTGACGTCTTTGAAGCTACCGTCCGTCGATTTGATGTCTCCGTCGGAGGCAAAAGGACCCAACTTGCTGCAGAACTCATCAGTGCCGTTGCATTTCCAGTTAGGTGCCACGGTGAGAGGAGCGCGGGAAGTAACTCGTTGAAGAAGATCGCAGAAGCCTTTCCCTTTGTAGACATCATCGATACCGGTAAAGGTAGTGTTTTTATAAGGATATGGTTCACAAGCCTTTGATACCAAACCACCAGAGACGAAATCGTAGGTGACTGATTTCGCTAGCTGGGAAAAAAGATTGATCTTGTCGAAGTACTTGAGGTTAGGCTTCTGGTTTAGGCTCTTGAGCTCTCCATGGATCACTCTGTTCGTCAGCGTGAAGCTTTTCGGGTATCGAAGAAGGAGGAGGATCTGATCATCCTGCAGAAGCGGAGGCGCGTCGTGATCCTTAACCCATTTCCATGGATCAGAAGCTGAGTCGGTGTCACGAGAAGGCAGCATCGTCTCGCCAAGCATACACAAAACCCTCTCTTCATCGTTGCTCTCGAGATAAATCCCTTGGAAAGTGATCTTAAGCTGAGTGTGACTCGGCCACAGCTCGAACTCGCGGATCCCGTAAGACCTCAAGCTGATTTCGTTGAACGTCGTGATCGCGAGAAGCAAGACTCCGTTGACGCCGACGTATTTCTTGGTTCGATGCGGGAGATCCAGATCCGTGACCCGGAAAGAAACCAGATTCAGAGGCTTCGTCGACGAGTTTATCGGCGTGTTCGTCGAATCGAACGGCAGGATCGGGGAATCGCCGGAATCTTGATTCCAGTCTCCGTATCGGAAACCGAGCTTCTTCTTGGCTTTTCGAGGATCCCGAGAGATTTCGTCGAGCTTCAGTTCAGAAGCTGAAGATAACACTGACTTGCATTTTTTCTTCACTTCGTCGATCCGATCGTAACTAATTTTCGGGGCGGATTCGTCTTTGTACTCGCCGCCGATTGATTCCGACTTAGATTCAGTAGCAACAACAGTTGAGTATCCTAACTCGGAGAAGGAAGCAAGTACCAGAGAAGGAGAGAGCAACGAATGTGAGAGAAAGATCAGAAGAATGAGATTTACCGTTTTCATATTGACATTAACCACCACAGAGAAACCTTGTTCCGGGAGAAGAAAAGACAGGAACTTGAGAGTCGGGACAATTGATTTTAGGACAAAGATGGAAACTTTTGATTAAGGGTAAGTTGGTTATGAAATTTCTCTGTAATATTCGATTTGGTGGAAAACACAGATCGAGATTCGAGAGAGTGGAGTAAGAGGCGATTACACTCGAAGTTAAGTCATTAAGCCGAACAAGTGTGAAGAATGAAAAGTCTTAATTTTCCTTTTACTCCAACATTATGACATTATTTTTAATTGAATCTAATGTTTTCCCAATTCATTAACACTTCTGCTTTCTATAATTGTAATTTCTAAAACCATCCAGATAAATCAACTTATTTTTAATATCCCATTTGTCGTAAATTTTTACTAAAATATATTAAAATTTTAATATCCTACTTTATAAGAGATTTATTTAATAATCTCCGCATATTTTAAATACATAAAATTAATATTAGTACCTAAAAACAAATAGTCAATTAACTGATTAAAACAGTATAGAAGAATTATTACATAAAGTGTAAAATGATGGTGTCATAATTTGTTTTTTTTCGTTGGATCAATATAATACAGATTTTCAGTGAGTGGTTGACTTGACTTATAATATAATGAAAGATGCTGGAGGCGTGTTGGACGGGATATGTTTTAAGTGCGATCCCATTGACCTTGACTGATTCCCAAATCCCAACCATACGCTATAATTCTTTCAAATACATTTAGAAATTCAGAAGTAGGTTTAACTCAAATGAAATGACTCGTGAAGTTATACAAATTCATATATGTAATCATATCAAACTATACATAAGTTATAAGTTGCATTGTCCGCAAGGTGGTGGGTTAGTGGTACGGCAGGTTTGGTAAAGGGTAAAACTCTTATACCTAGGTTCGATCTTCTTGCTGTCTGTCAGTTGGGTCTTAGTCCAATTGGTTTACTTGATAGTTAGAAATGTAAATAGTTTGACTATCCCTAATATATAGTCGGATGGCATTTCAATTCGGGATAAGCAGTGCAATAGCTGGTCTAACCGGATAGCCGGTATATCAAAAAAAAAGTATACGGTTGCCATAGTATGAGTTGTAATATTGCGTGGGCCCAAATATTAGGTCCATAGACCCACTATAGCGCTAATACCTGTTTAGACGTGAAGCATTAGGAAACTAGAGAGGAACAAGACAATCTTGCAAAACAGAAGAAGAAGAAACCAGAGAAAGTTATCTGGAAAAATCTCTTGTAGACTTGTAATGTTTCGAAGATGTGAAATTAGATGAAGGTAAAACATTACATAGAAACCATTGAGAAGCTTGACCCACAAGCCATCGATACGAATTATGAGTTGTATTATTATGACTATGAGCATACAAAATGTACGAGTGTTATATAAGAAACAACGAATGAAGAACAAATGCGCAATAACAACTTAACAGAAACTAACAAAAGACGATAAAAAGTTAATTGAACACTCTTGTCTTGTTTCAACTTTCAAGACATGGATTTTCTCCACCTAGAAGGTGTTCTTCCTTTAACAAGCTTTATCTTCATATTACCAGGTGTCTGATTCACATACTCATCAAACTCTTCTCCATTATCACCAAACTCTTCACCATTCGTCTTGTCCACAACGCTAACGCTAATACCGCTCCTAAATCCCAACCTCTTCCACCTAAAAAAACCTTTACTACTCCCACTACTACATTTCTTCTCAACCAGCTTCTCTAACTGCGTTTGCATCGCACCGCACTCGCTCTTCAGCCTCGCCACATCCTCTCTCAATCTCTTTATCTCCATATGCTGAACATTCATCTCTCGTTTGGACATACACCGAGCTGGACCTGACTCTGAGTAGTGTGAGCTAGAAAGGTTTGGACTGAACGATGAGCCGCTCCAATCAATGTTGTTGTGGCGGCTACGACTCAGCTTACTCTGCTCAGAGAACAGAACTTGAATTATAGTTCTAACCGGTAAACGATCGTTCTGCGCTGCGTGACAAGATGCCTCCATTGATAGCTTCTTGCTATCTATTAGTCCACAAAGTCTCTTCCTTTCTTGCTTGGTCACTTTAGGATGTGCCTAACCAATCAAACCAAATTCAATTTGAATCAAACCCATTGCCACATCTCAATGATCTCATGCATGTAAGAGAGTACCTAAAGTAATATAATTTTTTTTACCTCGGGTCTATAAGTAATATAAAAGTGACGACATGAGTTAATTATATAAGAAATACCCATATAATTTGCAAATCTTAAAATTTTGGTTTCAAACTTAGCACACTAAATTAAAATTTTAAATGATTGTACGCAATTTTTTTTTTGACAGCATTGTACGCAAATATATATTTACTCTAAATAAATTACAAACAAAATTCAAAACATTATGTTTAGATTCACTATTTCTAATTTAAGGTTTATATTTCTTTATTAGAAAGTATTTTTTAGTTATTTCCCTTTTGATGTTGAAGTTTGTGCTACTATTGAAAATTTAATTCAATGGTGATAGTTTTGAAACTAAAAAACTTAAAACATACTATTTTTAGTAATCTTTGAATCGGAATTTCATGAAACTTAATATTTTTACCTTAAGATAGGTGTCTATTGCGCGGTAAAGGCCATCTTCTGTGACACGAGCATGGTTAGGGAGAGCTTCGGCTAAGGAAATAAACTCCGGGAGACATAAATCGCCGTCAACGGCGACTTCCGCTAAGTAAGAGTCGACGAGCTTCGCCACTTTAACTAGAGAAGCACCAGATTTGACTCCTTCGTTGTCTAAACATGCGAATTTCTTAACCAAACGAGTCACGAGCTCGACATCGAGCAATGTCTCGCACGTGTGACTAAACGAAGGTATCATTAGCTCCTTGAGGGAAGCTTGATCTAGCTGCCACGATATCCTCGCCTCTAGCTCCGCCTTGTAATTCGGATCTGCTCCGACCATGTTCGCTGTTCGGAGGAGACGCAGGAGGAAGTTACAAGGAACAGAGTCTTTCTCGGGCGGGATGATTCCGATTAACGTTTCGACGAAGAAACGTTTCTTCATCACGAACGCCGTTACGGAGAAGCTCTCAGATTCTTGCTGCGGTTGCAGTTGGCGGTTCGGATCATCGGGGTTTATGACGATGTCCGAGAGGTCAGGGAGCCACGTGGAAGCGTAATGAGCGATGATGGAGCCGATGAGATCAGGACGGACACCTTTGGCTTTGATTCCGGCGATGGTTTTAACGAAATAATCAATGTCGAGAATGCAGCCATCGTCGAACAAAGACCACTCTATTTCTCCGGCGGCGGCTGACGGTGATTTGGCGGAAGATTCCGGCGAAGATGTTTTCTCCATTTCTTTGTTTTTTTTTTTTAATGGTGGAAGTTGTTACAGTATGTCTAAACAGTTATATAGAAAGTGTGTAAGCAATTTAGTACGTTGCTCTCTGTTCTCGAAAAGTCTAACATTGAAACGTCATCGTCTCATCATGACTCAATTGTAAAATTCCAAAGGAAAGAACAAATTCTTGCCATTTCCTATAAAAACAATCAAGTTAGATCTTAGAAAATCCAGAAAGTAAGACAAAAATAAAAGGAATCCAAACAAATTATTGAGATTTTTCATGATAATTTTTGGGGGTTTCAGACTTTTAATGTATTGTTCTAAATTTTGGCCTGGTTCGTTTAAGGGACCCTGCAAAAAAATCCAATCTTTGCTTAACCATGTTAACGAAGCTCTCTTCCAAAAATCTTTAATTTTTGCTTACATACAAAATGGCTATTCATGGTAATATATAGTAAATTAAACGACACGAAAACATTGAAATTAATACATGTGTAAAAGATATGAAATGGGGCCATAAGGCTTAGGTCGGGACATAATCCTACCGTTGGAGAAGGATTGTGAGGCTGAGAAGAAGATAGTGATAAGAGATTATGAGGAGACAAAATCTTCTTTTCGATTCCAAAAAAGATATTTGGAAGAGAACGTACAAAAAAGTTTTACAAAACGATTACTTACAAATGTGGGAACATGGACGTGTCCTTAATATTCTCTTAGGACAATCAACAACGTACGTGTGGATAAAAACAGAGTCTGAAAACAGACAAATGTCATCAATCATCTTCTCATTTGAAGATGAAGTATAACACTTACACAACACAACACAGTATTGTATGGTCCCGTTTCAATTAATAATACGGTGCGCATGTCGCTTTTGCAACGATAACCACAAAGCCAAAAATGTGAACATAAAGATTCTACCTTTAAATTTGTTTTCATGCTCATTAAACAAGTTTAACTTTATATTGATAAAACAGAGTCATGTTCTTGGATTAACACAAACAACAAAACAAGTCGAAATTCGACGATACGGATCATAGTATCAATGTACATCTCTCTTCACAAATGTTAATTAGATCCATACCTCTTAACCCTTTCATCGATCCACTCTCTCATATCCTTCAACACGATCTCAGCGTTCTCATCAGGCTCTCCTTGAATCAAGGAATGGTACATTCCTTCGTACAGCTTCAGTGTTTTATCAGCGCTTGATGCCTTTTCGTATAGTAGCTTCGACGATGTAGGACACGTTACCCCATCTGCTGTCCCGTGCACCGTCAACACCGGAATACTTACTCTCTCGAAATTCTCCTGCACGTATTGTGTCTTCCTCAGTAACTCTCTCATTGTTCCAACTCTAGGCTTCCCTGTGTATCTGCAGAACAAAACAAAAAATCCAAACTTTAAAACTCTCTCACAGATCAAAGTTCTGTCAAAGAACATTGATGTTTCAAGCTTTGGTGAGAGTACCTTTGAGGGTTAGATGCGATGATCTTGAGCTTTGCTGGGTCTTTGATAGCTTTGCCAACCATCTTATTATCAGGCATTGCAGCCCACGTGTCAGCCAAGCCAAAGAGGAGACCGTAGGCAAAAAGATGAGCCTTGCTTGGTTGCATATCCTCAGGGATAACAAAGAGAGGAGCCGAGAAGATCAAACCGGTCCAAGTCTCAGGCTCGGATTGAAAATACATGAGAAGCGTGACGAGACCTCCCATGGATTCACCAAAGAGGAAAGCAGGGAGATGCTTATACGGATCGCTGCAACGAACGTGCTTGAAGAAAGACAATGATGTTGCTGCAACTTTCTCCATATCACCTGAGAGTGAGAAGAACAACACACACAAAGAAAGCTCAATTACTAAGGTCTAAGAAACCCTAAAGATTGCATTTTTATTTTATCTACAACACATTCAATCCCAATTTCCAGCAATTTCTCTATTTTTCCTCCTAAATCCCTAACTTGTGAAAATTCCAATTAATCAATAAGTGGGAGCGAAGTAGCGAGACGAACCCATGTAGCAGCGGATTCCGTCGGAGCGGCCGTGACCGAGAAGATCGGCGGCGAAAACGGCATAACCCCAAGTGGAGAAGCTGATACAGATCTTCTGGAACATCCAGCTCGTATCGGATCCGTACCCGTGAGACATGTACACCGTCCCTTTGATTTCGCCATCCAACGGAAGAAAGCTCTGCGTGAAGAGCTTGCCGTTGGGTGTTTCGAAGTAGGATTTGCTGTTACGCACTCCTTGGGAGGTGTAGTACTCTTCCTCCGGCATGTCTCCCCAGAAATTCGGCGGTGGCGTCGCCGGAGATAAATTCGCTGAGCTCTCCGCCTCCGACGGCATCGTTTTTTTATGTTTGGCGCTTTCGCTTTTGAGTTTGCTTGGTGAAATTGGGGAAAGTGAGCGCAAGAAGGGAGACGAAATGAGTTTATAACTTTTATATATATACGGCATACTAATTAAACGTGATTAAAGATAATTAATATATTTAATACTATCAGATGGCAAAATAATACATACTTTCATGATTAATCTGAATTTTTAACTTATGTTTTATCTCAGTAACAAAAAAAGAAGTGAACCACAATATCTACCAATCAACATTCTAGTACTAAAATATGAATTAGTATCATGTGGTTTAACAGTTCAAATTATTATTGTTTTTGAATGATTTTGATTCGTAAGTTACAACAAATGATTTTTTTCGTCATTTCACATGTTAAAATCTTATCCACAAGGATTAAATGTAATAATATATACTTCAGTTCACCAACCGCGATGTGGTGGGGTCGGATAGGGGTTGGTGGGGTCAGTAGATAGAGTTGGTGCGGAAAGTTGGTGTGAGGATCCGACCCGACTCGACCTGGTTCATGTCAGATAAGTCACTTCTTCACCTACCCCCGGTTCGGTTCGCTCGTTTACCGACCTACTCCATAAATTATATACCGTTCGTCCGGTTTAAGAACCATTGGGCCTTATTTATTACGGACGGAAAAATTCGATGTTTTAAGGACCGTTGGGCCTTATTTTAGTAAAATTATTGGCCCACTTACAAATACTCATAATTGTGATTTGTGAGTCTGTGACCGAATGCTTATGCTAACATACATTATTAGATGCTATCATTGAAAGTTTTAAAGTAATTTAATGATATAGAAGAAGCTCCGAAGAACAATCAAGAGGAAACAAAATCACGATGATTGATAGGCAGATAAGTTTATTTGATACGAGAAGGATATGTAAAACATAATATATACATAAATTATATAAGTTGATTCCTCGTATTTTATTGACATGCGTTGTTTCACTAATTTGAAACGTACGTACATAAATCGGTGTACCAGTTTGTTCCTTTTATTTATGCAGTAGTAACATGCATGGGAACACAATTATTAATTATTGACTTATAATTCAAAATAAGATACTATTTCGTAATTATCTAGTCATAGACAACATCTTGATTTGTTCTGCCAGATAGGTAGCTTCATAATGATTACGTACATCTCAATTATATGACAAACACAAACCCATATTAACATTTTCTATTGTTTTTTTTTTCGTTAAACCTTTTTTCAGAGTGTAAATTTTACACACAACATGTATTTATTTCCAAATTATTTAATAAAATGATTGTAAAAGGGAGTAAATAAAATGATTGAGGGGAAACAAAAACAGAGGAAGGTCGCTGGAGGAATATTAAGAGTGAACCTAACAATCACATGCTTCTATGTGCTACTCTTCCTCCAACACACTTATCATTTCTTTGTCTTTGCTGTCTTTTGGGTCCATTAAATCATTTAATATTTCCCCACTCATAATTTTACTTTATCTTACAACTCATTCTATATTTTTATACATCAAATCAAATATTTCTGGAGCTAAAAACATTTTGTCTGAATATGAACATAGTTCGTATATAATGCAAAAACAGACTTGAAAATTCCGATCGTGCTTTCCGCCAATACGTTCGACCATCTCCGGAGAATGCTCAGTGCTTCTCCGCCGCGTCGTGATTCTGTTGAATTTCCGATTTGATTGAATTGTCTGCTTAAAGCTGTTGTTGTCTTGTCGTAAGCCACCGTCGGGTTTTTATCAAAAACAAGAAGCAAGATTAAGAAAAAGGCGGGAAAATGGCGGCGTGGAAGTCGTGGATTGTGGCGGAGAAAGCACGGAGATGTTTACGGACGATGTTCTTTGTGGCGGCAATGACGGCGTCTCTGTTACCTTCGTCGTTTCCGGTTCTGATCACCGTGGCTGATGTGGCGGTTCCTTGTCTTATCGTCTCCGGCGTCACGTGCCTCACGTGTCACTCTGCCGCAGAACATCTTCGGCAATACAGCTTCAAGAGCTCTTTCATTGACGTACCACTCATATCTCTCCTTAGATCTCTCGCCGTTATCTGTACGCACTCATCATTCTCCTTTTCTCTTTTTACTTCTCGCTTCCAAAATCATTACTTGACATTTGGTTCTTGACATGAAAACAGGTCTCTCTTGGCTATGTGAAGACACAAGATTAGCTTATGGTCCTTATCTTGAAACAGTGATCGTATCTTCCTTTGGAGGGTTTCTTCTTCTTTTGGTTAAAGCTTGTGTCTTCACTGTGAATTCTCATCTAGAAGCAAAGGTCTATTACTTCAAGATCTCATGGGGAATGCCGGTTTTGCTACTATCATCTGCGGTTTTCGGTTTAGCTCATGTCGTTGTAGCTTATCGAACTAGTTGTGGAGCAAGAAGGAAGCTCATGTACCACAAAATTGACCAAGAAGCTGTAAAATAAAAATTGCCTTCTTGTTTTCACCTATTGAGATCATTTGTCTTTTTGGAGCTCACTCAGTTTCTTATGGTTTTGACAGGTTCTCACATGTAAATCTGGTTTCTCCGGTTACAAGAAGGCTCATCGTCAATCATTCACTCGATCAAACTACAAAATCTTAAGCTATGCAGGTGAATTCAGACAAAAGTCTTTCAGGGGAACATCTTTGGACAGAGAAGAACTATTACAACCAAGATTACTGGCAAATGCAGACAGTTTATTCATCAAGATCCATGGCTTAACTGTCCATTACAAGCAGGTTGATTTACCCTCTACTCCTCCGCATGATATTGTAAGCGGTTCTGCAGTTGATATGAACGCAAGAAAGCTGAGATTACTAGACAAGCAGATGTCAAACTTAATCACCAAAACTCAAACCAATCATTTGCATCGAAGCTACACCATTCAGCCCGATAGATCATCCTTGTATGATCCTCTGTTAGCGAATTATCCCGTTAACTTTTTCAACAAGGATGATGTACACCAAGTGGATTCCATGAATCTTGGTGACGATTTGGAGAGAAATGGGGATGTTGGAATAGTTCTAGTACATGGATTTGGAGGAGGGGTCTTCTCATGGAGACATGTAATGGAAGAATTGTCTCATCAGCTCGGTTGCAGAGTCGTTGCCTATGACCGGCCTGGTTGGGGTTTGACCTCAAGGCTTGTCCGGAACGATTGGGAGGAGGACACAAGTCTAGCTAACCCTTACAAGCTCCAAAGCCAGGTTAGGTTTCTTTGAAATGTTTGTGTAAAGTGTTGTGAAAAGCTTCTTGATATTTTTTTTACCATCTCTCGTTTCACAGGTGGATCTACTAGTTTCTTTTTGTTCCGAGATGGGGTTTTCGTCAGTGGTACTCGTTGGCCACGACGATGGTGGTTTGCTTGCTCTCAAGGCAGCTGAAAGAATACAAGAACCTACCTTCAAATGCAATGTAAGAAATCCACAGATAGAAATCAAAGGGGTGGTTTTGATAAACGTTAGCTTATCAAGAGAAGTAGTTCCTGCCTTTGCAAGAATACTTCTTCATACATCACTCAGGAAGAAACACTTGGTCCGTCCTTTGCTGCGAACCGAAATAACCCAATTGGTGAACCGGCGTGCATGGTCTGACACCGCCAAGCTAACCACTGATGTCATAATGCTCTACAAGGTAAATCAATCACTAGTTTCACTCTTACCATTGCACATTACAAGAAGTCACCTTAAACTTTGTGGCTTTCTTTGTGTATTACAGGCTCCTCTATGTTTAGAAGCTTGGGATGAAGCACTGAATGAGATAAGCAAGTTATCTCATGAGTTGATCCTCTCACCTCAAAACGCAACAGCTCTTTTAAAATCCATTGGAGATGTTCCGGTCTTAGTTGTTGCCGGTGCTGACGATGCTCTTGTTCCTTTGAAATCTTCTCAAGTTCTTGCTTCTAAACTCACCAACTCTGTAAGTTTCATTTACTCTTCACCAAGTCTTTCCATAACTTTTATTTGCCACTCTCTCTAACCCAATCTTTACACACACGCACAGAGATTTGTAGCCATATCTGGATGCGGACATCTTCCACATGAAGAGTGTCCTACAACACTCGTATCTGCTCTCGGTTCCTTCATCTGCAGACTGATGATACCTATGAATCATACAACCATGTAAATATGTTCAAGATTGATGATATGTTTACTTTGGATACGAACAAAGCAGAAAGGTAGTCAGAAATGGTTGTTTTGGATAATCATCATAGAATACATAAGCTGAAAGATAAAAGACGATAAATCTGAGTCGCGTCTCTAAACACAAGTACGCCGCCGATAGAATAAATAACAAACAATCCCTAAAAAAGAGCCTTCTCTCTAGCGTCTTTTTATCAAACACAAGACTCTCTCTCTCTCTCTCTCTCTCGAAACAGAGAAACGCACACACACTAAGAGAAACTCTATTCCTTGGCGGATTTGTTGATGAGAGACTTGTGGATGTGAGGGATGACTCCACCACCGGCTATAGTTCCTTTGATGAGGGTGTCGAGCTCCTCGTCCCCACGGATCGCGAGCTGCAAGTGCCTCGGCGAGATACGTTTCACCTTCAGGTCCTTGCTCGCGTTTCCAGCTAGCTCCAAGACTTCTGCAGTCAGGTACTCCAATATGGCTGCTGTGTAAACAGCTGCGGTTGCTCCGACCCTTCCATGAGCAGTGGACCTCGTCTTCAACAGTCGGTGAACCCTACCTACAGGGAACTGCACAAAACAAAACCCTAAATTAGCCACAACAATGGAAAACAAGATCGGAGAAGATGCAGAAATCAATTGTCCTATCAATCATTACAAAGTATGGTTCGCGTTTCTTGACTCGAAGCAAGAGTTTGAGAAACCAATCACAGCTTCAACACACAAAAATGGAAACAAAGCGTGGGTCAAGTGTCTTGAGCCGAAGCAAAGATTTTGAAGAAACCCACCAAAGAGAAACCTCATCGCAGCTTCAACAAACAAAAAAAGGGTTCAAGAAAACACACATTGATGAATCAAATTAGCTTTTTTGTTGCTGTTGCGACCTTAAAAACTACTCTCAAGGAGCATAACTATGACTAATCAAAAGATGGAAAGCTTAAAATCTCCATCGCTTGCAATATCGTCGCAAGAAAAGTCTATAAGAGCTCATAAGAAGAGGAAAGCGAAGAAAAGACACTGTAAATCAAGAGATCGGGGTCGGAATCGTAAACAAACGCTCAGTGAAGCAATTTCAAGCAAATAACACAAGAAAAGAGCGAATCTCGTATCCCAATGTCTATATTCCATATCTGATAAATCAAAATCTAGCTCAGAATCTCGTCGATCCGATCTACTTATCGTTCGGGTAAATAAGGACAGTTCGATTCCCAAAGAAACAAGCATGGATTTGCGGAGAACACAGTGAGAAAGAGAGAGATAGAGAGAGAGAGAGAGAGAGATTTTACCTGTAGACCAGCTCGAGAAGAACGAGTGATGGGTTTCTTCTTGTCCTTGTCCTTGTCGCTGCCGCTGGGTTTCCCCATAATCAACCCCTTAGCTCCTTTCCCCGACATTTCCCGCCAAAAGTCTCACACTAAAATTCTCACACGCAGAGAGAGAGAGAGAGAGAAAGGAGATCGCACCAGATAAAACGAGAAGAAGAAGAAGAGCTCGTGAGTCGATAGATGTTCCCCAGAGAGAGAGAGAAAGGCGGTTTATGAAACGCCAGTTGACGATTTTACCCCTCCGCACCAACCCTAATTACAGATAAAAAAGGTCCAACAGGCCAAAAGGCCCAAGCCCAAATATTGATCAAATTATCGTGTAATCGCAAAATATGTCCCAATATTTCATATAATAACGGAAAAGACCCCAGAAAGCTAAAAAGATCAGTTTTTTTTGTTTAACACACAGGAACTTGATCGAATTCAGAAGAAAAGAGAAAGGTCTCTCTTTTTTGTTCTCTGTATAATTCATTCAGTCTGGAAACAAAACACAGCAAAATCAAGAACTAAGACAAGAGGCTGTTCATCTCGCTTAAGCATCAGATGGTTTCTCAGCGGTTTTTCCTTCCTTGATGATGTGAAATCCTTCAATCTTCTTAGCAACTTCATCCACACTATGCTTCACCCTCCTCGAACTTGACTCGTTCTCTTCAACATTCGCAACACTCGCAGGTGTCGTTTGCCAGATTCTGATGGTCCCGTCTTCAGACCCCGACGCGTAGGACTCACCCGTGGGTGAAAACCTCACGCAGTGTACGGGTCCGTGATGTCCCTTGTTGCATCCTATGTTCAGACACAGAGAAGGTACAATCAGAAATAACAAAAAACCTCACAGAAGCTTTTGCATGATTTGCTTCAAAGATCTATCAAGCTCTTCACTCATGGAACTTAACTTGAAGAACAAAAAAGGAAGATAGGACAAGACAAGCTGATGTGATTATGGTCTTGCTGAATACTAATCAAAGCCCACTTTTTTAATATGATCGCATAAACTATCTTGAGAGTGACTCACCAATCTCCTCGCCAGTGTAGAAATCAAACACTCGGACCCACATATCCTCTCCACCAGCAACAAACTTTTCACCAGACTTTGGCTCCAACGATGCAGATTCGATATTGCACGGCATGTCGTAACTCTTCACTAATCCAAAACTTGAAAAGAAACAAAAGAGAGACAAAGATAGAGCTTGAGCAAAATCATAAAAAGTAATGAATAAAAGAGAGAGACCAGATTCTTCTTCCCAGACACAAAGATAGAGCTTGAGAACTTACTGGTTCGCGTCCCAGAATTTGACGGTTGATCCATCAGCAGTTGTAATATATCGTCCGTCTTGGCTCACTTCAGCACTGGTAACAGGAGACTTGGTCTCTAATGTCTGGACAATTTTCCCACTCCTTACATCCCATAACCTGTATAAGATTAAAGTTAGAAGACAAGGGAAAAAGAAAAACAATAAAGGTCTATTGTTTTATGCAACAACGTGTTATATAGCTGCGCCTTGTTCTTTCATATAGTTCATACCTTACACCTCCAATATCAGTGCAAGAACTTAGTATTGTTTGATCACTGTGAAGCCAAGTGAGAGTTCTGATAGAACCGGGAGATTTATCGACTTCTGTAGGAGGTGCATCCAACCGATTCAAGTCAAAAACACGGAGAATCTTCTCAAACCCTCCCGTGATCAACAGTTTTGTATCCTAGTGAAAGAAACATGTTAAGACGCATTGCAATCAGTCGCATGATTATATGAGGAACCATCGACAAACAAAAAGGGTCCAAGAATAGTCCAATCTACAGAACAATTCGAGTATCATCTAGCTAACCAAATCCTCAAAGCATTCATTCCGTTTTCATATAAGAAGCCCACCACAACAGATCATTCACTCACAGAGATATGAAAGCTTATGTCTATCAAGAAAAAAAATTGAAATTGCAATACACAAGTTGACCAAGTATATAGCTACACAGAGAGAGTAGACAAACTTGAACGAACCTCTGAGAAGGCACATGCTCGAACAATATGCTTGTGCTCAAAAGAATGCAGCACATCCCCTGTTAACGCATCCCAAAGTTTCCTGAACAAATTAACACAAAAAGTTAGATGATTTTGTTATAAACTAAACCGAAGAAAACAACATAATAATATGAAACTAAAATAAATCAAACACCATACGCTGAAAAATCGGCTGATGCAGATGCAGCACGCAATGCATTGTTATCCAAGCAAGAGCTCCACACTGCACCTTTATGCCCTTCGAATGTACCAATCCAGTCTCCAGTCTCCCCATTTCTCAACATTGGATGTGAATCTAAACGCATAAAAGGCATAATTGTTCTCAAAACACTCTTCAAAATCATGAAAAGTCTTGCTCTTAAAAAGGGATTCATAAAATAAATGTAAACTAATATAAGTAATCTAAGCATGTAAACACCACACAGGCCACACATAATGCAGATAAAAGGATTGTTCAGTTCGTACACACACACAAAAAAAGCTATTCATAACATTGCTGTACTCAATTCTTGTAACCAAAGAGACACAACTAAAATCGGAGACTACTAGGCACAAAATTTCATCAGATACAAAATTTAAAGTATTTACCTTTACTGGCGCTGATGAGGAAGAAACCATCTGGAGTAATTGGACTGTAGAACAAATCCACGACAGGCCTTGAATGGCCATGGCACACAAGTGGAACGATTGCCTTTTTCTTATCCATTTTTACCCAATTTAACAAAACCCTAGCCGCTAACTGAGAGAACCCAAGACCCTGAGAAGAATCACAAATCCTAGAAGAAAAAGGGTTTAAGGTTTTCTAATTCAAGCGATTCAAAGTAGATTCCGAGACGAAAAATCTAAAAAGGGTCTAACTTTTTTTCTTCTAGTTTCTACAAATATATTGGGAGACGAAATCCCGAATCTAATGAACTTGGATCGATCTAAAATTGATTGAGAAATCTGCAGCTACTACAGTTGAATGCTGTTTCTCGAAAATTCTACAGACAACACAAAATGAGAACAGAAGGAAATTGTAGGAATGGGATGCTTCAATGTACAAACAGTGTTTTTAGGGATTTGTACATCGGGTTGAGAAGAACATGATTATTTGTAATTTTGTATTGTTGACAATAAAAGAAGAAGGAAGTAAATTGTATTATTTTCAATTACTTCCTAAATTTTCCAAGTCTCACATCAGCGACCCTATATTTTTGGATTTACACATGTGTCCCATCTCACAAAAACCGAATTTTGGCAATTTTGTAATATATTTTGTTTGGCAATTTTGTAATATATTTTGTTTGACAATTTTGTAATATATTATTTTGTTTTGCTTGTAATCGTGTTAATGATGTTGATGATGATCATGACCAAGTCATTAAAAGGAAAAATCCGTCTTTATGGTTATGGTTTAACTTTAGTTACCGATTTCAAATAAGGAAATTGCTTGGTTTTACTTGTTTGGTCGTTTATTCAAATTTTGGAAATTTTCCTTTTTAAAATAATATATATATGTATGTATTGTATGTGTATGTTGATGAAAAGTTGAAAACATATCCAAATCACTAGAGGACTTTTTTTTGAGTTTGAAAAATAAAAACATTCATTGCTGTGTGGTGGATTCGAAGATGAGGGACTTTAAAACACATTTTTGCTTGGGTTTCTTGAAGTGTTTTATTGGGTTTGTAATCATGCTAATGATGATGATGCCTATGACGATGATTTTTGGTTTAGCATTGTTATGCTTTTTCTTGGGCTTCTTGGAGTCTTGTCTTGGGTTTCTGCTGATAATGATCATCATGATCATGGTACCACCGATGTTAATGATGATGATGCCTAAAACGATAATTTTTGGTTTGGCATCGCTATGCTTTTTCTTGGGCTACATGGACTGTTGTCTTGGGCTTGTGCTGATAATGATTTTCAAGACCAAGGCACCACCGATAACAACATCGTCGTCATCATCACCTTCATTAACTCCTCCGTCCTCTTCCGATCAATCCCCGTCGTGGATTTCAACTCTCGCAACTTTGAAGACGGCATCGCAATCGATTGTGTCGTCTGCATCTCCGAGCTCACGGACAAAGCGAAGCTTTTCTCGACCTGTAATCGCTGGTTTCACGCCTGTTGCATCGACGCGTGGCTTCAATCGCATTCCACTTGTCCCACCTGCAGGAAGAGAGTGGGCCTGTTCCAGTATGCCTCGCAATTTTGGGATTTCGGCCCATTAGAGCTCCTAACTGACAAAGTCCAATGAGCCCATTATGACTTTTTCTCCACATTTTTTTTGTTAAAAGGCCTGACTTTTTCTCCACATATGTATAAGTGGGTTTAACAATGTTCGCTTTTTTTTTTAATGCAATTAGAGTTGAATTAAAAATTTGACGAGCACTTGGATTTTTTTTAATTCAGTATCTAATCCTTTGAATATAGTAATAATTAATGTTGAATTGATAAATTCTATACAGAAATGAGAAATCTTGAAGATTACACAAAGTTCTACAAGCTTTTTCTAACAATAATCAATCAGGTGAGGTTTTTCGATTGACAAAAATTTCGGATCGTATTACTGGAATTCGCAATAATTTAATTAGGAAAGCAAGACCAACTTCAAAATCTAAAGCAGATCATTACTGAAGATAATCATAGATCAAAGAGTAAAATAAAAAGAACAGAAATTTACTAATTAAACGATCCAACGGTTCTTGAGAAAACAGACTTTACAACACAAAGGACCAGGTACAATCCAACGGTTCTAATTAAAATGGCGCACCGTAGAAGATAGTCTGCAGCCTACAGGATGACTAGAAAGAAGAAAAAAAGGAGACGCATTTTTCGATTCGACGAATTGTTTGTGAGATTATTCATTCATCATCACCAGATCTGACCCGACCCGACCCGGAGATATCAGACGCAAGCCGAGACGCGATCGCGGAATGATACATAACTTCGTGGAACGTGGAAGCTTCTGCGATTTTCTTCCTTAGCTGCCTAGCTTTCTCCTCCGTCAGACAACCGCGACGGAGCTTCTGACCTGGATCCTGACCCGACCCGGAGACATCGACTTTACCCGGATTCGATTCTGGGCTCACGGAGGAGCTTTCGATGTTGAGGTAATCGGGATCGGAGGATACGCCGAAGAGAGGAGCCCACCAAGAAACAGATTTCTTGCGGTTCGGATCCGGGTTCTTTAAGGATCCGAATCCGGAAGATGCTCGGACCGTGGTTGGAGCGTAGCAGGAGATAATCGAAGCCATGAAAGCGGAAATGCAGATAGAATTAGAAAGTAACGTGATCCGTCAAGAGATAGATATGGAAACGTGAAGATTTGGGGATTTAAGGAAGGAAAGAAAGAAGAAGAAGGAGATGGATCAAATAGATTTCTAGGGTTTCGAATTTTATAATCCACAAATTTTTGATCTGCTACGAAGAGGTTTACGTACACATGGAAGACGAGAGAGAATGTGGGACGTTGGATTTGGATATGTAGCTTTTATTGAGTTGTGCACGTAGATTTTTAAGTGGACGCTGACGTATTGGATTGTGGCTTGGCTTTGGGAGATGGATAAGTCTAAACGCGTGGAACGCTTTTTTATATATATACGTCAAGTTGCAGTGTCTTTGATGAACGAAATTTTATTATTATTTAAAACGTGAAAGAGCCGTTTGATTTATGCAATCAAACGTGGAAATACAAAAAGAAAAGTCCAAAAGGGGAATAATACACTGTTGATAAGACGAAGTCTTGGACTCAGCAAGAGGATTTGGAAACCGAACACATAGGCCAACAGAAATCAAAATAGGAAGTAGTGGCCCAATAGAAATGGAAGAAGAAATAATTGGGCCCACAGAAATCACTCAAGCCCAAGAAGTCTGTTACATAACCGAACGGTTTTCTCTGCATCACTTATACTTTTTACCTATTACTCCAACTATTTAACAATATAAGATAATATATACATATATGTTAACTTTCCATTGAACTCAATCTCGTAATCTACGAGATCTCCTAACACTAACCATCGATCAGTCAAAGTTAAAATATACACTTTTGGATCGTCGTCATCATCTCAAAAACCCTAGGCTAGATAGATACAAAACCCTAAATATCTATATAATAAATACAATATATTTACTAATAATATTGTGATCTTCTCTAGATTCTTCTATACAGAGGACTTCTTTGGTTGAGTAACTTGAGTTTATCATACCGAAAAAGAAAAACATTCATTTCTGTGTGGTGGATTCGAAGATGGGCGGCTTTAAAAAAAAAATTTGTTTGGCATCGTTATGGTTTTGCTTGGGTTCCTTGTACTGCATTATTGGGCTTGTAATCGTGATATTGATGTTGTATTTGCCCTCAGTGATCAAAGTGATCATGACGAGGTCATTATGGGGGACTCTGAATCTGAAGATGAATTCTTCTTCGCAATGGTTACCTTTCTTCTTGGGCGTTTGTCTTGTGCCTTTGCTGACTTTGCTGTATATGACGCCGACAATAACCTCCTACGTCCTCCACCGATCAAGATCAGCCTCCGTCGTACACTTCGAAGATGGCGTCGTTTGTGTCGTCTGCGTCACCGAGCTCGCTGACGGAGGCAAAGCCAAGCGTTTACTGACCTGTAATCACTGATTTCACGCCCATTGCATCGACAGGTGGCTTCGGTCGCATTCCACTTGTCCCATCTGCAGGAAGATTGTACTTTGTTTTTGATTTCTGTATCTAATCCTTTGATTACTCTAATTCTTATTGCATCAGAATGATATACAGCTTTTTCACGTTTTTAAAATACCTAGTTTTCAATCTATTCTGTATATTTTAAATTTATAAATAATTTAGAGAAAAATTTATCCATCTAATAAATACTAGCGTTTTGAATTTATTCAATTTTCACCAATTACCCATTTTATTAATTAATTTAATATTCAGCTATTTGACTATTCCGCTGTCAAGTTAATATACAATTCAAACCCAATATTGTGAGTGTTACCAATTAATTTGGAACAAAATTCAAGTTTCTGCAGGATCCATCTATAACTAGAACGATCAAAAACATACTTTCCTGTTAACAAAGATGAGAACTTGATCAAAATCTAGTACATAAACACTACAGAGTAATTACATGAATAAATAAAGTAATACCTTAACTAATTCCATAATGAAAGTAAGAC